AAAAACAATTTTATTACCAAATGAAAATACATTTTATGAACATCAAGATGGGAGACTTAGTATAAGATTTTCAGATTATCATACTAGACAAAATAAACATGAATCAGACGATTACTTGGAATCAATACAGTCTGAATTTGAAAATAGAAGAGCTTAATGGAAGACATAGATTTTAGTTCGGTAAATTCTTATGAACAATTACAAGATTATGTATTTAGCATGAAAAGTCCCTATTCAAAGTTACAAGAAAGATATAATTTTGATTTGGCATATGAAAATAGATTTAATGACATTTTAATTGGAGAATGATTTATTCTCAATATAAAATTGAATAAATAAAAGTAAATCAACAACCAATGGATTTAGAAGTAGTAGCGAGACCACCTAATCAAGATAGAGGTAAAAGATATAGGTTTGATCCTGTTCCCCCCTTAGGAGAACATGGTGCTCCTGGAAGACCATATAGACTGGGAACCTCTAGAAGAGATTTTTATGAAGACAACAATTATAATTTTAAAGGAAGTATTGAACCCATAGAAAAAATTAATTTAATACCAGCTCATAGGAATGGAACCATTTTAATAATTAATTTAAATAACCCTCAAATGCGGGAATTCGTTATATCTACATGGGAATTTGATGTTGTAAGAGCTTAGGCAAATAGTGATAAAAGTGGTGTAGAAGATATGTTTGTCTTTTTAGAAACTCTATTAGGAGAAACATCAGCCAATATATTTAATGAAGCTAAAGTAAAAAAGGCAGGAGAAATAGGACAATTAAGACAATTAGGAGAATCCATATAATTTTACAAAATTTATAAGAACACTTATATTGGGATTTGACCCAAGTAGGCAGAATACCAATATTCAAGATCAAGCTTATCGAAACCTAGAACAATTAAGTTTATCTGATTAGTCTCAAATAGATAAATTTTGTACATTATATGTAGCATATGCTAGTAGAGCAGGTAAGTATTTTGATGATGAGATATCAAATAGATTTTTAATAAAATTACCTGGAGAATTAGGAAAAAAAATCCATGAAAAATGGACAGAAACATATAGAAACCTAGAAAATATTAGAGGAATATGCATAGGATCTCGAATTGTATTCACATTTAGTACTTTGCAAGATAAATGTAGAGAATATAAAATTCAAAAACAAGTTAAAAGACAATCATATAAGTTTTGTAAAAATATTTATACTTTACAAAACTTTCCAGAAAGACAGCCATATAGAAAATGAAAAAAAGTACTTAGAAAGTCTAATAGTAGAATACCTTCAAAAAATAATAATGTTAAAAAACCTAATAATAATAATAAATGTCATTGTTATATATGTGGTTCGCCGGAACATTTAGCTAATAAATGTAATAAAAGAAATTATAATAGACCAAGAATGTTGTTAATAGAAGGGTTAGAAGAAGATGTAGTAAGTATTTCTTCCAACGAATCTAATGATATTATTTACAATATAATAGATGAAGAAAGTGAAACCGAATCAGTATCATCAGAATATAATATGGAAGGCTTGATAAGAGCTGTAGAAAGATGAAATTTAGATAGATGGAATATTGTGACCATCTTTTTGAATTAGGAAAAGGTAGCATGACTAAAGAATGCATTTATTGTAATTATTTTCCAGATAAAAACCATAGATATCGTTCTCAATTATGTTTAATAGAATTATGTCATTTATGCTTAAAGAAAAACCATAATTTAGAACATAGAGACTTTGTAAAGCCTAAAGAAAAAGTTAACTTAGATATTTATACAATACTACAAAAATTAAATTTTGAATTAGAAAAAATCCAATTAAATAATGAAAAAATATTATTTAGAATAGAAAAGTTAGAAGAACAAAGTAAAAATCAAGAGAAATTTCAAAATAAATTAATACAAACATATAAAAAAGATAAACAGAAGCTTTTATTTAAAATAAAGAAAATAAGAACAGCTATTAAGAAGAAAAAGATAATGTCAACATCTGAAAGTGAAAAGTCATCTAGGTTTAAAAATAATGTTATGCTATAAGTCCCGACGAGCCTTTGTGGCGTTTATGGGCATGTCTTTTTTGTTGTCATCTTGGATGTAAGATTTAGACTGTGGGTGTATGTTGTTCTATGAACCAGCGGAAATAAATGGAGTCGGAAAAAGATTTTACGTTTATATTTTGGTAGGCTTCTTCTATGTATTAGTATATATAGATGATATATTGGTAGCATCACATAATCTTAAACCTAGAACTCGATGTCATAACGTTGGGGAATCTTTAATTCTTATTGTCTAAAACTCCCTGAAGCATATTATTTGTACTCGGAATTCAGAGGTCTATATTATGTTTAAGTGGGAATAGTGTATGTTTCCACTGAGGTCTCTTTTAATCTAGTTCACGAAGCCAAAAATAAAGAATTCATCTTAGAACTAAATTTTATATAAAGAAGAATAATGTATGTTTCCACTGAGGTCTCTTTTAATGTGTATAAATAGAGTATGAGTGTCAGTGTTATGACATCGAGTTCTTCAATTGAGCCTCTAAGTGTTTGAGTGAGAAATACACATTAAAAGAGACCTCAGTGAAAGGAAGAGCTCGATAGTGTCAGTGTTATGACATCGAGTTCTTCAATTGGGCCTCTAAGTGTTTGAGTGAGAAATACACATTAAAAGAGACCTCAGTGAAAGGAAGAACTCGATGACATAACACTGACTCTCATACTCTATTTATACACATTAAAAGAGACCTCAGTGGAAACATACATACACTATTCCCGCTTAAACGTAAATAAGAATAGGGAGGTATTTTTTTTGAATAAGGACAAATGAATATTAATAAAAACTTTTTAACAATAAGTAAAAATGCCTCCCTATTCTTCTTTATCATTTGTCCTTGTTCACTTAAAAAAAAATACCTCCCTATTCTTTTTTAGTGTATGTTTGTTTCCACTGAGGTCTCTTTTAATGTGTATAAATAGAGTATGAGAGTCAGTGTTATGGCATAGAGTTCTTCATTTGTCCTTGTTCACTTAATATAAAATTTAGTCCTAAGATGAGTTCTTTATTTTTGGCCGTGAATATAATGTGACACTAACTCTCATACTCTATTTATACACATTAAAAGAGACCTTAGTGAAAACATACACTATTCCCACTTAAACATAAAGAAGAATATCCAAAAATTTTAAATTTTCAAACTATAATATTGATAAGGTTATACTCACACTCATGCACCCTATTCTTATTTACGTTTAAGCGGGAATAGTGTATGTATGTTTCCACTGAGGTCTCTTTTAATGTGTATAAATAGAGTATGAGAGTCAGTGTCTCACAAAATATCATAATAAAACTTCAAATATTCATAGCTAAAAATATACTTACAGAGAATTTTTACAGACTTAACTCTTGACCTTCAAATACTCACACTCAAACACCAAGAGGCTCAAGTGAAGAACTCGGAACTCGATGTCATAAGGCTGACTCTCATACTCTATTTATACACATTAAAAGAAACCTCAGTGAAAAAATACCTCTCTATTCTTCTTTATGTTTAAGTGGGAATAGTGTATGTATGTTTCCACTTTATTGTGTATAATTAGAGTATGGGAGTCAGCCTTATGACATCGAGTTCTTCACTTGAGCCTCTTAGTGTTTGAGTGTGAGTATTTGAAGGTCAAGAGTTAAGTCTGTAAAAATAAGGGAGATGTCTGAAGAAAATCTTTAAAGTAGATTTTACTAATACTAATTTTAAAGAATTTAATATTACTGAAACATTGTTATCACAAAAAAAAACATAAATATTTTAACTCTTTTAGACGCGGTGATCCATAAGACGTTAATAGAACCTAAGGAGGCTAAAGAATTATTAATCCCAAGTGAGCAGAATACCAATATTCAAGATCAAGATTATTGAAACCTAGAACAATTAAGTTTATCTGATTGGTCTCAAATGGATAGATTTTGTACATTATATGTAACATATGCCAGTAGAGCATGTGAGTATTTTGATAATGAGATATCAAATACATTTTTAATAAAATTACCTGGAGAATTAGGAAAATAAATCCATGAAAAATGGATAGAAACATATAGAAATCTAGAAAATATTAGAGGAATAGGCATAGGATCCCAAATTGTATTCACATTTAATATTTTGCAAGATAAATGTAGAGAATATAAAATTCAAAAACAAGTTAAAAGACAATCATATAAGTTTTGTAAAAATATTTATACTTCACAAAACTTTCCAGAAATACAGCCATATAGAAAACGAAGAAAAGTACTAAGTTTTATAGCGGAATACCTTCAAAAAATAATAATGTTAAAAAACATAATAATAATATTAAATGTCGTTGTTATATTTGTGGTTCCCCATAACATTTAACTAATAAATGTAATAAAAGAAATTATATATATATATATATATATATATATATATATATATATAATAACTTATTTTTCAAAAATGATATAAAAATATGAATAAATAGACAATTTTAATGTGAGTTATTTTTTTTACAAATACCTGCAAGCTATGGTTTTGATCGAAAGATAATTTCCAATACAATGTTTACCTTAACAAGTACTCAAAACATAACACCTATAGCTCATTTTACTTGGTTCATTGATATTGACTTTCCTAAACTCTAAAAATAAATCAAATCGAAACAATTAATTTATGAAACAATAGAAACAACTCAGAACTCAAATAAAAAAAAACAAACAAAGAATTCTGTGTTTTCTTTAATTTTTTTTGGAAGATTAAGCTTTTTTTTTTGGCTAACCGTATGTTCATCCCTGCTAACCCTCCCATGGAAGCAAGGACATTCTTTAAAGAGATTAGCATCAACGGAGAATTGAACTCTACAAATGAGGGTATTATATCCGCTCACAGAAGTTGTTAACGTTAGATAATTTCCTAAGCATTCAATTGCATCACCTGATTTAAGACACGAGAAATAGCAATCAAAGAGATAATAAGCAACTCTTAAAAGCCAAAATGCTTACTCGAGCAATGACAACAACTCCAGGTTCCGGAACGGCTCCGCGGCTCTTGTGACCGACAACTTCCACAGTCGACCTCTGAATAGCCGGGTTACGAAAGAGAGAAAGTTCATTAATAAGGCGGCGAGAGGGAGGAAAGCTAACAAAGAAGAACAGACAGTAACCCTGGAAAAGAAATGAGGCAGCCAGGCATACCTTCTCGGTGGAGTCGGCGGGAGGGGGTAGTACACGACGGTGGCCGGTGATGGAGGCGTGAATATTCCGGCCATTGGGTGCCAGATATGATCCTTTCCCTGCGATAAACTGGGACGAATCCCCCAGTATTTCACCGGGAGTTGCTATACTATCTTATCTCCTCCGGCAGCCATGGCGACAATTTCCACTCTACCTCGAGCTTGCTTTTGTGATTCCTAGGGTCGCCCGTTGGAAGAAATATTCCATGAGTACTACATGTAAAGCTATGTGTGCAGCCAATAAAATGTCACCACATAGAAAGCCCGGCACACCTATTAAAGCAAGTAAAAACAATACAAAAGTTAATTTCTGATAATGTCGGCCTGACCCTAATCCTGGAAAATTTCCCGCAAGGATAAAAATTTTTCAGAAATTTTTCGCGCCTACTTACTGTTCTACTTGTAGTTCTATTCGCAGGTAGGTGGAAGAAATATTTCACAACTACGTTCGCAGCTCTGCAGCTAGGGTTCCGATGAGGTGTCTAGGAGCGTTGAGATGTCAGAGGAATTACACCCATCATTCAGCTTAAACTTTGAAGATCGAGTGAGTCTATAATCTTTTCTAGTTTTATGTTAGCTTAGGATTTAGGGTCTGTTGCTGTTAAAATTTAGGGTGTTCTTCTGTTATTATGGTGTTAAACGTGGGTTTTCTTGGTGTTATTCTTGTGTTATTCTTATTCTGGTGTTACTCTGGTTTCTGGTGTTACTCTGGTATTACTCCAATGTTAGCCTTTGATTTAGTTTTGTTACTGTGGTATAATAGTTGGCTTAGTCTAATGTAAATATTGGTGTTGAGGTAGTGTTATTGGATGTTGTTATACAGTTTTTTTTTTGTATTATAATGGTGTGTCTTTTTTGTGTTATTATGGTTTTAGGCTTGTGGTTGTTTGGTGTTACTCTTATGTTATTCAGGTGTTACTCTGATATTACTCCAATATTACGTTGTTTATTACCTTCGATTTATTACTTTACTGTGTTATTATTGTTTAGTGCTGATATTATCAATGTGTTATGAAGTCCCGAGGCAACACACGTTTATGTTATTATGGTTTTAGGCTTGTGGTTGTTTGGTGTTTCTCTTGTATTATTCTGGCGTTACTCTGGTATTACTCCAATGTTTGATTTATTACTTTACTGTGTTATTATTGTGTTATGCTGATGTTATAATGGTGTTATGCAATCCTGTGAGGCAACACACGTTTGCAATGATCCAATTGCATGATCCAATTGCAGAAGCAGAAAAGTTTCTAAGCAGCATTGTCCACAATGAGCAAGAAGAATATGAAAGCTATCGTGCCTATGCACATCACGTAGGATTCACTATTCGGAAGGACCACACTATCTACTGGCCAAACTCTAAGAAACTTAAGATCAAAGATTATTTAGATCAAAGATTATTTTTTTAAGATTATTTTTTTTGGAAAAGCTGGCTACAAGAAAGAGCCTAACAACACAATTAAATTCAGAAAAGTAGACACGAGGACTGGTTGTAAGGCCATGGTTTGATTTGTTGTTGATTTCGAAGGCAATTGGATAGTAGCAAAATTCATTGAAAATCAAAATCATCTTTTGCCCGAAAGTGGTGATAAGCATCTTCTTCAATCCAACAAAACGATAAGTGAGTTGAATGCAGATGTGTTGAGATCAATGACAGCTCAGGGATCAGAGCAACACATGCATCCAATTTCATAGCCACGGATGTTGGTAGTGTGGAGAATTTTGAATGCACCAAAAGAGATGCATTTAATTTCATACAAAAAGAAAGAAGACAACGAATTGAACAGGGACATGTCAATGCTCTAATACAATTGTTCATGGAGAGGCAAGCTGGAGATAGCATGTTTGTTTGGGATTTCCAAACAGATGAGTCTGGCAGGTTAACAAACATTTTTTTGGAGTGATGGATTATCCAGGCTAGATTATGACTGTTTTGGGGATGTGATAATTTTTTATACAAGCTACAGATTAAATAAATATAACTTATGTTGCGCTCCATTTGTGGGGGTTAACCACCACTGACAGAACATACTGTCAGGAGTTGGATTTTTGTCTGATGAGACACTGAATCATTCATGTGGTTATTCCAATCATTCATTGAAATAATGAGAGACAAACATCTCATAAAAATTTTTACCGATCAAGATAAAGCAATGACAAGAGTCATTGTAGAGTGTCTCCCACAAACACATCACAGATTATGTTAATGATACATCTACAAGAAACTGTCTTCTAAAGTACACTATGGAGTGTGTACTAAGAGCGTCTGTGGTCTTTTTTATAAATGCTTGAGCAAGTGTGATTCTGAGGAGGAGTTTGAAGAAACGTGGTTCTTAATGATTGAGTTGGAAGAACTATAACGCAATGTCTTGTTAGATGAAATGTACCGTATAAGGCAAAGATGGTCAACAACATTTAATAAGGATATTTTCGGTATGGGAATCTTATCAACACAGAGAAGTGAGTCGACCAACAATGTCTGTCATGATGTTGCAAAGCCAACTAGCTCTTTCACGGATTGTTTTATCGGTCTTGAAACCATAATGAAATTGTAGCACCGGAACGAGAAAGATGAAGATTTCAAATGCGGTCAGTCCGTCAGAATGTACATGGTTAAAATCAATCCCATGCTGAGGCAAGCTGCCTCATTCTATATAAGGAAGCTTTTGCTCAATGTTTGAACAAGAGCTATTAAATGGCTTATGTGGGCTTACGGCTGAAGTATCAGTGGAGAGTGAGGCTAAATATTACGTATTAAGATTGGATGATGAGGGGACAAGGCAGCCCTGGACTATGTTAGTTGACAAAGTTACTTGTGAGGTTACATTTAGTTACAAAAAATTTGAGATGATGGGCCTGTTGTGCTCCCATGCACTATTTGTTCTCAGTGTCGCCAAAATAAAGCTGATTCCGGAGAAGCATTTCTTATTGCGGTGGTCCATCCATGCTAAAAGGGACATTTATAACAGGGTTGGTTGCAGAGATCTAAAAGACTCCGGGTTGAATCATGTTTCTTCAAGTTCTCTTATATTCACGTCATGCTCTCATAATTTTGCATATCAACTCATTAATAGAGCACGAAGAAATGAGTTAGCTTAGGAGTGTTTGTGGGAGCCGTTTAAAAAATTATCTGGAGATATTGAGGATGCTCTAGCAGGGAGAACAATCGAAGTCAAGAAAACAAAAAAGAAGAATAAACTTACAAATATAGAAGTCAATGTGAATGACCCTGCTAAAAAGAGGCCGAAAAGAGTATCTACATCTAGGTTGAAAGGATATTGGGAGAAAAATAAGAAAGCTAAAAGTGCAATTTTTTTATTTAGTATTTCCTTCCTTCCATGTATAATACATATTTCTAACTTTAACCATTGCATTCAGGAATGGAACAAGAAGCAACAACTAGCCGTCAAGTTGTTGATGCATTTGAGGAAAGCTTGACAAATTGTCTTACCTAGGTATGTTGCTAAAATTCAGGTATGTTGCATATTTAAACTGTGTAAGAAGTAAATGGTGGTTTATAATATGTTTTTTTTCAAATATTTATGTCTTAAGCTTAGTCAAACATGGATAAAATGTATAACAATATGAATAACACATAGATAACACGAACACATAGATAACACGTGAATAAAAAGTCATGCTGAATAACACTGAAATAACACGTTGATAACACGTCGATAATACATGAGTAACACGCTGAATAACACATCGATAACACGTGGCTAAGTTACACATTGAATAACACGTGAGAAACACGATGATAACACGTGAGTAACCCATGAATAACACATAGATAACACGTTGATAACACGTGGATAGCACATCGATAATACATGAGTAACACGCTGAATAACACATTGAGTGAGATGTTGAGTAACACAAGAGTAACTCGTCGATAATACATCAGTAAGACGCTGAATAACACGTAGATAACAGGATGATAACATGTAGACAACACGTCGATAACACGTGAGTAACCCTTAAATAACACGTAGATAACACGTCGATAACACCTGAGTAACCCTTGAATATCACGTAGATAAGACGTCGATAACACGTGGATAACACGTCCATAATACATGAGTAACACAGGCTGATAACATGTGAATAATAGGCTGATACACGTCCATAATACATGAGTGACACGGGCTGATAACACGTGAATAATAGGCTAACAACATGTCCATAATACATGAGTAACACGGGTTGATAACACGTGAATAATAGGCTAATAACACGTCCATAATACATGAGTAACACGGGCTGATAACACGTGAATAATAGGCTAATAACACGTCCATAATACATGAGTAACACAAACTAATAACACGTGAATAATAGGCTGATAACATGTGGATAACACGTCGTAATACATGAGTAACACAGACTGATAACCCGTGAATAATAGGTTGAATAACATGTTGTTGACCTCAATTTTGGTTGAGGCTTAGTTTTTCCTCTTTAGTAGCCTAGGGTCTAGCCATAGGACTTTTCCTGTTGACTATTCCTAGAAAACTAGACATGGAACCCTCACCACTAGAAACTCCAAACTCTTCTCCACTCAACTTGAAGTTTCACATGTTGCTCTCAACCTCTAAATACTTAGTAGGTGTGGTCACTGTGGGGGAAACTCAAGAT